TCTTGATCTTGTTCTGGGGCTCGCAGTAGGTCGGTTTGAAAAGCGCCACAAATCGACATCGAACTCGTCGAACCTCGGACGAATTTTGGTTTTTGTTCCTGCTGTGCGCGATGTTGTTCCGTGTGGGTCCATGACAAGAGACGAACAGCTCGTCGATCAAAAGCATTTCATTCAGGAATCTGCTCCGCAACTCGTCGCGGCCACGAAAGTACAACCTATCTTGATGACGACAATCACGACCGCGGAACGGCACGTTGGATGGACGCCCGGTGGCGACTTGGGCTCACCAACATGACCTTAGTTGATCTTGAGCAGCTCGACCTCGAAGATCAGCGTCGCGTTCGGCGGGATGAGGCCGGGAACGCCGCGCGGACCGTAGGCAAAGTCGCCACTAATAGTCAGTTTGGCGACCTCGCCGAGCGACATTTGGGGGACACCTACGGGGATGCAAAGGGGTGGGTCAGTTTGGTGTCGACTTTGGGCGACCAAATCGGGTGAAACCAGCACGCACCCTCGTCCCAGCCGCGAATGACGCGACCGACACCAATCTCGGTCACGAACGGCGAGCCGCGGTCGCGCGACGAGTCAAACTTCTTGCCGTCGACGAGGGTGCCGACGTAGTGCATGGTGCAGCTGGAGGAAAGCGCACAACGCCGGGTCAGTCCGGTTCGCGGATACCATTTTGGTTGTTGTAAGCGTACCGGTCGCCCTTCTTGGGGAAGTTGACACCGTCGCCGGCCTGGACAGAACAGAAACAGGAGGCGTGTCGCGTGAGCGCGTCGCGTTAGTTGCGGTTCGAGCAAACGCGTCCGGAACCCCATGCTCAGGCTCGCAGAAACGCGGCGCAACGCTGTCGTGACGAGGCCGAGGCGCTCCTCTCGAAAGGGCCGTGCCGCGACGCGTTCAAGCCATTCACGGTCTCGGTGCGCGACGAGCAGATCGCGGTCGCAAGATCGAATAGTTGGCTACCTTGATGATCTCCTTGGTGACGCCCATGATGAAGAGTGCAGAGTCGAGGTTGGTGTGGTCGAATCTGGGGAGAAGAAGCGTGGTCGAGGTGGTCGACCGTGTCGTTGTCGGAATAGTCGCGCCGCCGTGTCGAGGCGTGCGCGCTGGTTGGTTTGCCATGTGGGCATGCGACACGCCTTGAACCTGTCTCATCCATTCGAGCGCGGGAGACACCCTCTCCCGGCTACTCGAGCTGCAGATTGCCTTGAAACCGTCTTCCTGTTTCTATTTGGTGCTTGACGAGCAAATTAATACAAGCGCCGCCCCTCTCGCCCACACTATCTCACAGCGGCGACACGTAGTCCCCCGACGAGCTGTGCATTCCATTGCTCGACGACGTTGGTGCTCCTCCTCCTGCTCCCGCCGCCGCCGCTGCGCCGCCGGCCGGGCTCGCCGTGGTAACGAACCCGCCATACGTCGGCTTGACGCCGCTCAGCGTCGACAGCGGGAACCCAATCTGCGACCCGTACCCGAGCGGGGCCGTGGACGGGAACCCGTTGGGGCCCACAGCCGAGTTGGAGACCACCTTCTTCTTCAGCATACGGCTCAAAGTAAGCAAGAACAAACAAAACAGGCGCATGCGAATGGACTCGGCAACGTAGATTGAGGCTAAAAACCAGTGGTCGGGTCGTGAGATGCAAATTTCCAGCGGGTGGGAATGAATCGGAAAACGGGAAACATACACCAAAGCGGGTCAAAGTCGGGCGCAAACATGACGACCGCGTTGGCCACGATCATGAGCGTGCACTCAACGGCAAGGATCCACAGCACGCGGCTCAGCATCTCGTGGAACCCCTTCCGCAGCGTGTTGCCGGACGACGCGCTGATTGTGCGCAGCAGGTGCACGAACGCGCCGGAAATGGCCAGGTTGGTGAACGCGTCGTAGACCGACCAGGCTAGTTGGACGGACCAGAGCTCAGTTCCAAATGACCGGGTCGGGTGAAGAAGGCACGGCGCAGCGTACCGGAAAAGACCTTGTCGACGAGATCGACAATGGCGCTGTCCTCGTCGCTGAATGCCCTGAGGTACCCGTAGACGTAGGCAATGTTGATGCTCGTGTAGGACAGGATGCTTACTGCAGTCGCCGCGATCAGCACCTTGGTGAGCGTCGGCATGCGCTTCGTGCCAATCGCGCGAAACCTACGTCCACGCGCACGGTCAGCTCCCGGAGCGCGACCATAACATCGCAGCGGGTGGACAGCGCATACCTCGACATGTTGAGCGCGACGAACCCGCACCCGCCGACCCACGCAAAAAACAGCGACGCGAGCTGAGTCGCAATCGTCGACGACGCGACTTGCTCGAGCGGGACCTTGCGGGTCGTGTCCATTTGGCCCTCGAACATGGCCGCATTCGGGTCGGCCGTGGCCACAAACTGGAGCAGCAAATCGATGCTGTGCGCGACGGCGATCCCCGCGAGCCACGGATAGTAGGTCGACTTGCCGGCGCGCCGGTAGAGCGTGATGCTCGTGACCAGCGTCGATAAATCGGTGGCCACGGCGATCCCGAGCGTGAACGACGCCGGGGACCACTTGAAGACGGGCTATCGATAGAACCGGACCGACGGTGATCAGTTCGTGATCTCGCCGACTGGAAAAATGAGTGGGCAAGCGGCATGCGCGCCCCGCGTACTTCGGACAATCCGTTGCCCATGGTTGCAAGCAGAAGTGCCAATCGACAACGCTTGCAGGACTGTTCGTGAGCGGACCGATGGAGTTGCCGCTTGTGCTGGGGCAATGGAACACAATCGTTTGCGCCCGGGGTGGTCGATTTTGTAGCGGCGCGCGGCTCGGACGGGTCCCCTCAAACTGGCCGTAGAGCGGGGGTGGCGGAAAGCAACGAGCTCGTGCTCAAACGTAGTGCAGGAGGTAGCGTTGAGCGAACCTGCCGATCCCGCGTCTTGACCAGCACCGTCGCATCGCCGGAGCGCGGTCCGTCATGTCCTTCGGGACCCACATCGCGCATTCGGCTCGCAGGAACTTGTTCCTCGCCGGGTCCGTCAGGGAGCATCTGGTGGCGCGCGTTTCTGCCAAGGCACGACGACAGGGCCTGGGCACCACACCACGCGCCGTACAGGGGTGGCACCGCGTGGTCGGCTGCGTGAGCCGGTTCCATTTCGCAAGCAACGCGGGCCGAGTCCGGGGTTTGCCGTGAGTCGTGGGCCGTGTGGTGGCAGGGCGTCCTGTTGGCGTCGGTGGGCGTTGCTTCGAGCTTGGTTCGGTTCGTTGTTCATGTCATCTGTGCCATCGGCGTGGGCGAAGCTTGGAGGCGAAACTTGAAGCGCGGTGGCGAAAGGCTGTGAAACGCAGAAACTGCCTGGCTAGAGCGTCGTTTCAACCTCGAAACGCACAGAAAACAGCCCAAAATCCCATCTGAAAATCGAGGTTGTCAGAGAGGCAAACAAGACCTGCTTTGACTCGGCACCCACCTCGTCGAACTTGCTCTTTCTCTCCACCCCCAGCACGGACCTCGTTCTCGTTCGCCTGGCTCCAACCCCGTCCTCAATAAGACCATGAAGTTCATCAAGCCCGGCAAAGTACCTGTCGCCGACGATGCTGTTCGAAACTACCGCCAACGACCGAATCGACGCTGACCGCCATGGTGGCCACGCCCGTCCATCCGTTTCCGCCCCGTAGGTCGCTGTCGTTCTCCAGGGCCGTCACGCCGGCAAGAAGGCCGTCGTGATCAAGAACTTTGACGAGGGCAACAAGGCACACCCGTTCCCGCACGCCATCATCGCCGGCATTGAGCGGTACCCGCTCAAGATCACGACGTCCATGGGCAAGAAGAAGGTGGCTCGTCGCTCGCGCGTCAAGCCCTTCGTCAAGATCGTCAACTACAACCACATTATGCCGACTCGGTGCGACCCGCCATTCTTTTTTCCCCACTCTCTCGGCGTCGTTTCTTTTTTGCCGTTCCGTGTGCTGCTTATGCGAAGATGGTCGTGAAACGTGATCCCCTACCTCCTACCCGTGCAAGTTGATGCGTCCTTGTGCATGGAGTCTCGTCGTGGGCAAGTGCGGTCGTTTTTGGGTTGAGACGCACTCCACGCGCGACTCGGCCGACCATCAACAGCAGAATTCGTCGAGAAGCGGCCATTTCACGTGCCCCACTTCGACCCTGGCATTCTCGAGGGTGGATGCCAGCCGTTTCCGCCCTTTGTGGCGGGACGGGGGCGTGTGTTTTTGCTTGGCGCACCTTGCGCTCGCATCGCGAGTCGCCTTGGTTGCCCGAGGAGCCCACGCCATAAGCCGGCGACGGCGTGCTCATCGTGTTCTTCCAGGCCCGCGATTCCGTCAAGGGATCGTTGTGGCCGCGAAGCCGTGAGCGGAGGGGAGTTGTCACATCTGGTCTTGTCCAAACTTTGGCCGGTCGGCCGTCTGCGGTCGCATTGATTTTTGTGGCCAAGGACGGTCCCGGTTCCAAGTGCTCGTGACACTCTTTCTCGCAGACTCGGCATCATCGACTGATACTTGATCCTGCTCTCCCCCTCTCCTCTTTGACTCCGACGTGTTGGTTTGGTTGTGCAGTTACACGCTCGAGCTCGAGAACACCAAGACGCTCGTCACGGCCGAGACGTTCAAGGAGCCGACGCAGCGCAAGGTCGCCAAGAAGGCCATCAAGAAGATCTTCCAGGACAAGCACGCCGCTGGCAAGAACAAGTGGTTCTTTGCCAAGTTGCGGGCCTAATTTTTGGGGCGGTGTTTGTTTGCGACCGTGCTATGTTGCCTTGTTGTCTGCCTAATGGATTGGTTGTTGAAAAACTGTCTTGTCAGTGAGCGTATTTTCTCGGCCTGTTAGACCTCGTTGCGAGCGGTTCATCCGCTTTTCGCTCGTGCTGGTTGGCCCTTTTCGATGGAAGAAGCAAGAGACCATTCCTGCAAAGAGCGCCGTGGACAAACCTCCGTTGGTGATTAACGATGGATCGGTCTCAAACGAGACAAAAACGTCTTGCTTCCCCCGCTCTGGACAGAAGTGTCATTGAACATTGCTGCGCCGTCCGGGAATCGAACCCGGGCCACTACCTTGGGAGGGTAGTATTCTACCACTAGACCAACGGCGCCTGCCGGAATTTTCGAAAATTTGTTTTTTAATCTAAAGCATTTGCGCTTACTGGTCATTCACAGTGGGCCATGATCTCATGTTTGCTCCATTTCCCCCGCTTGCGCCGAGCGATCCGACCTGGCGACCTTTGCGGCCTGCGGCGGCCACGACGGCACCCATCCTCCCCTCTCGACTCTTGCTGCAGCACGGCGCACCATCATGTCGGACCCAAGCACCGTGTTCGCTCGGCGCGCGCCCGAGGGCTACCAATACCAGACCATCAAAGTAAGCAAGCAATCGCGACCACCAGCAACCCGCGTGACGCGTCGGTCGTCTCGACGTGAACATGACCAACAACTCGCTGATGCATCGACCATGTTTTGCAGGTCACGTCGCTCGAGGGCGGTCGTGTGCGGCTCATTGCCTTTTCTCGCCCCGAGCGATACAATGCCCTGTCGCCGCTCGCCTACAAGGAGTGGTTGCTGGCGCTCAACGATGGTCCGCACCCGTCCGTCCCCTCAACTGGTGTCCCTGGCGAGCATGCGCTGATGGATTCCGCGACGTTGTCCCTGTAGCCGCGGTCGACGACGACGTGCTCGTGACGGTGGTCGTTGGCACGGGCCCGTACTACTCGTCTGGCAACGAGTTGTCGCCGCCGACGCCCGACCAGGCCGACGGAATCCTGGCCGTGCGCGCGATTTACGAGGCCAACCCGAACATCAGGCTGCTCGAGGACCCTCTGCCGGACCTGGCGCCGGAGCACCGCGACTTGATTGAGCGCGGCATCATCACGCGCGAGCTCGTGTCGACCATGATTCATTTCCCGAAACTGTTGATTGCCGGCGTGAACGGTGCGTTGCTGTTGCGCGGACGGACCACGTCGAAAGCGCGTTGTCACTGACAGTGGGCGTCTGTAGGTCCCGCGATCGGGTTCGCGGCCACGACGCTCGCGCACTTCGACTTTGTCTTTGCGACCAAGGAGGCGTGGTTCATGACGCCGTTCATGCAGTGGGGGTTCTGCGCCGAGGGCGCGTCGAGCGTGCTGTTCCCGGAGATTCTGGGGCCGGCAATCGCAAACCAGATGCTCGTGCGTTTCTCTCTGCTGTTTGAAGCAGCGGCCTGTGCTGACCAAAGCCGTCTCGGCATCTAGTACATGGGCAAGAAGTTCACAGCCGAGGAGCTGCTGCCGACCGGGATCATCACGTACGTCGTCTTGTCCCACTTGCCCCCTCCTCGAGGACCTCGACAGCTCACTGCGGCCCTCATCGTCGCGTAGAGAAATCCTGTCCATCGACACGTTCCAAAAGGAAGTGATTGCGCGCGCGTGCAAGCTCGCCAAGTCGCTGCCGCCGCAAGCCTTCACCAAGACCAAGCGGCTCGTGCGGCACCGCGCCAACGAGATCGACCGCGCCAACTACAATGAAATGAATCTGCTCATTGAGCGGTACGTTGGCCACCGCGCCGCGCGTGGGTTCGCTCGAGGTTCGGGGCTAACGACGCAAACGCGTGCTCGGCGTTGTTAGGATGGCATCGGAAGAGTGCGAGAAGCGCGTGATGCAGTTCTTCATGAAGAAGATGGGCAAGCCCAAGCCCAAGATGTAAAGTGTCCGCTTACTCGTCGATCTGGAAGATGGTCGCAGTGGCCGGCGCAGGGTTCCGTATTGGGGACCAGGAAATGGCGGAGAGCGCGCTGGGATGACGATCGCGGCCGGTTTTGCGAAATACAGGGCATTTGCTCGACGCTCATTCTTCTCCACCTTGTGGTGTTCTTTCGGTGTGCAGACAAAATCGTGCTCTGATTATCCGGTACTCGCTGGCCAGCTTTTGCAGCGTGGTCAGGTTGGGGTTCGATTGCTGACAGCGCTCCATCAACAACACTGTCACAACTCGCAAGTTCGCGATCCTTTCACCATCCGCACCTTCAACGACCATGAACGCCCTCCGCACGACCGCCTTCGCAACTCTCCGCAACGCGACCTTTGCCGCGCCCGCGCGCACGTTCACGACGACGCGCGTCGCCGCGACCAAGGTCGTCCAGATCGGATCGACCGACGCCTTTGAATCGGTGCTCACGTCCGGCAAGCCCGTGCTCGTCGACTTTTTCGCGACGTAAGTATCACGCCAACGTTCAATTTGAGATCGACCATCACGAACCGCGCGGCTGACGCACGTTTGGGGTGGTGATGGATGGAGGTGGTGCGGTCCCTGCCGCATGCTCGCGCCCACGCTCGACAAGATCGCCAAGGACAAGGCCGACGCGCTCTCGGTCGTCAAGGTGGACTGCGACGAGCTGCAGGAGCTGGCCGCCAAGCACTCGGTACGGATCACCAGTCGGCCTGTACCCGTTTCGATGAACCCCGGGGTCGCCTGCTGATACTTTTCCGCCGCTTTGCAGGTGAGCGCACTCCCGACCGTGGTCCTGTTCAAGGACGGCAAGGAGGTCGACCGGTTCATGGGCGTGCGGGACCCGAAGTTTGTCGAGAACTTTGTCGCGCCGCACACGCAGAAGTGAAATGAAGTGGTGGAGAAGCCTGTTCTTGTCATTTTTTTGGGGACCATCGAACGGTGCGCGCGAATATATATAACATGATGGACCGACCCGTGCGTGACGGCATGCGCAAGAAAGGAATCAAAATGAACCAAGACAGATCCAATTTCTACGACGGCTTGCCTGGTGCAGGTGCGCCGGTCGCGCCGCCCATGGCCTGGACCCACGACAGGTACCGGTGGTCACCGAGCGCGCGCGGGTTCGTGCGGTGCCGCACCCAGAAAATCGCGGCGAGGGCGAGGCAAATGGTGCCGGTGCCCATGTACAGCGCGCCGAGGTACGGGTTGTACCCGCCGAGGATCGCCGACGTGGAAATGGCGAGCGACTTGGTGCCCTTGATATCGGCGATATTGTAGTCTGCCGCGAGATTCTAAGCGTGAGTTCACTCGTGCTCTTCCACCCCCAATCCGCGAAAGTAGGTGGACAACGTACTGTCGGTGATCACGACGCGGTAGGTACCGCGCTCGAGCGGCTCCGAGTCGTTGCGGCCGTAGAGCTTGTAGAAATTGGGCAACCCGGACGTGCGCATCCACACTTGGAACCGCTCGTTGGTCGCGAGGTCGGGCATCTCCGTGTACCGATCGCCGTAGGTCGCGACCCAGTTGGGTGGCGGCACGTGCAAGTCCGGGTCAAAGTCGCGCAGCGGCGCGTACTTGCGGCGGTCTGACGGCCATGCGATGCCGCGGTCCGTGAACTCGTAGGTCGTGTTCGTGGCCGCCTCGGTCAGGTCGCTGATCGTGTCTGTAGAGCCGCACGTCAAATCCAGGACTTCGCTGCGACGGAAAAGAAACCGGGAGCATCCATCCGGGGTGCGTACCGTTGAAGAACGTGTTGGCAATCAACCCGCACGGGTAGTAGACCACGTCCGAGTGCGGCGCGACGCGGCCGTACGGGCGGCACGCCACATTGATTCCTTCCGGGTGGACAGGGTCGCCACGCAGCTGCTTGTCACTAAACGAGCGCGAGTATCTGGATTGCAACGCGTTCGTCAGCGCAAATCGACCAGACGCGCACCAGCAGACCCAACGTACCGGCGATGATTCTGGTAAAAGTTGGTCAAGCGGTAATACATGAACACGGGCGGCTTGAGCGTTCTTGGCAGCGTGAATTCGAGTGTGCACTGTGCCCTGCCCCCCTGGACCAGGTCGCGTTTCCAGCGCACGAGCGGGTTCGTGCCGCGTGCGGCTCCACGGACCGTGGACAGGCGCATTGGCGGGAGCGGCGCAAACGATCCTGTTGGCGCAAGTTGTTTGCACATTGTGTAGTCGATGGCGAGCTCGAACACCTAGTTTGACATCGTTGCCGAGTCGCGATGAGTTGACGCGATGCGCCCGCTTTCGTGACGCAGGAGGTGGCAATTCGCACGTACGCGATGCCCGTCAATCCACAAAAATGCGCCAAGCGGGACGAATATGAGCCCGAGTAACGCGAGCACGGGAATCATGACGTTGGGCGTGAGCAGCGGTTGCCATGCCCGTAGCGATTGCTGCCGCAGCCCGTGCACTAGTTGGAATTCCGGTCATTTTTGACGACTTGAGAGCATAGATCCCGTCGCTTTGCCAAGCGCGTACTGGATAGCAACGGCGCCTTTTCGTGTGCGTCCATGTCCTCGTTCGTGTCGTGTCGGCCCGTCGTGCGAAGGCGAAGACCGTCATCATTTGGCGATGTGGCCCGCTGTGGCGGGCTCGAGCTGCGTGTTGACATTTGGATCAGATTGCAGCGAGTTGATGGTGTTGGTCTAGTTGGAGGGTCAAATGGTTCATGGAAAATTGTAATGGTCAGGTCGGCCGGCAGAGACGAACGTCGCCAAGCGCGTCGATGGTTGCTCAGGTTGCTCACGGTCGCGAAAATGAAATCAAGACGAACTCGGCTCTTGTTTATTCCAATTTCGATTTCGAGGCACAAAGAAAAAAGAAGAGGAAGAGAGGTATAAATTATTTACAATTTGGGGAACTGCACGCGGGAACGAAGCCAGCCGACACAAAAAAAAAAAAATGGAACGGGCGAAAAGGGGACTGCGCTGGCGTCTCTACTTACAGAGGGACAAAAAGAAAATGAAAGCAAGGAAAGCCCACGCAGGGGGCAGCACAGACGTACACCTCGCGCCGCGCCGCGATCGCGCACGGCACTACGACGACGGGGACAGCGACGACGCGGCGCGCTTGACCGAGTCCGATAGCCTCGACCAGCCGCGGCTCACTTTGTGCGAGATTGACGACGAGCGGCTCGTCTGCGACGACGGCGAGACGAGGCCGTCGTCAATTGAGCTCACACTGCGCGGGCGCGAGACGCCAATCCCAAGCAGCGCAAACGGCCTGGCCAGCGTGAAGCTTGACCGCGGCGAGGACGGCGATGAGACAGACCCGAGCGTGAGCGTGCGCGACCAGGGCAGCGATAGCGGGGTCGTGGCCAGCGCGGGTGGTTTCTGCGCCGCATCAGCGAGACGTGCCAGCGCGTCGGTAATCGCGCGA